GTATAACCATACCCAATCAAACATACATAGGGAATGTGTAACCTTATACCTGAATGTTCCTGTGGAGGTTAGAATAGGATTTTTTGAAAGCGGGGAGATTGCAGTGTTTTTCGGGAGCCACAGCAAGCCCTTCATCATCTAACTGTTGTCTCAATTACATTTTGGTGTAAAAAGTGTCCAGATGTGCAAAGACAGTTGATAATTCTACGTCTCTGAGTAACTTGTTTTACACTACACATATTCATTTGACCCATTTTTAAAGAGAAAAATATTTATTATAGCAGCTTTAATCTGTTGGACTGTGTAGATATTAAACACACATACTGTACAAGTAGTCACGTGATCCATTGTCAATAAACAAATATTGACATCAGCCACTTAAAATTTCTTTGCACATGTTCAGGGCAACATCTTGCATGTGCCGTTGTCTCTAGAGATGTATCATCTGTTTAGCATCCCGAGGCTGTTCTGAGGTCAGCGCAGAAGGCAGAAGAGCGAAGCATGACCCCGGGCGACATTTGGAACGCCTTTGATGCAGAAAGATTGAAATAGGAGCTGCAATGTATCATGTGATAATCGGCCCCACAGGAATCACCGGGGGATAAATCATACATGACAGGAACAATAGGGGCGGGGCTGGTTTAGTGGTGTCACACCTCCATGAGCGCGATGACAGCAATTTTTCAGTGTTCCCCTCCCACCTTCCACCCTGCTAATGAAGCTGAGACAGAAAAAAATGACAGACATCCACATGAGCTAATGCATCTCGGCCAGTATTACTCAAACACAATCTGCTATGGAGAAAAGGTGTCACATGTGATGACGTCACTGCGCAGGCGCCTCAGGTAGCATGTGATTGACTGCACCCGGCCTTGAACTGGGCAAATACAATATTGTGGGGGTTTGGCAGGATAATCTTTGGGGCAGACCGAAGCTGTCCCCACAGGCTTGAAATCCAAAACAAGCTAGAAAAGGTTGTTTAATATATACCCATGTCCTGGTTCCTAAGGTTAGCTGTCACTCTTATGTGTACACACACACACACACACACAGCGGAACTTTACTCGACATTGGGAAGGAGGCTGAGTAACTGAGCAATTCCAGCTGTTGTGAAGCCGGCAGGACTCAGATTGTATGAGTCAGTCCCAGTGGAGCTTTAATCAAGAGGGGCCCTCTGGGGGACTTCCCTGAAGGACAAGAGAATAAAGTCTGATTGCAAAGCCTTGAGGGTGTTAACACCTCTCAACTGGACTGACTCAGAGAAGGAGTTGGCCAATCAAG